GTTTTTTGATTAAAGGCTATTTTGTCTGAAATAACTATTGTTTCTTCTGTACACTTTTGGTTTGTGTTTGTGTAGAATATTTTTTTTCCATCCCCTCATCTTCAGTCTATGTACATCTCTACAGATGAAGTTGGGTTTATTGTAGGCAGCATATAACATGGTCTTTTTTTATATCATGCCATCCAGAAACTCTGTATTTTTTTAACTTCGGAATTTAAATTGCTTGCATTCAATATTGTTATTGGTTGGTAATGTCTTGTTTCTGTTATTTTGTTAAGTTTTTCCAATTGTTTTCCATTCCCTTTCTTCTTTCCTCCATTTTTATTGTTTACCTTTATAATTTAGTATTCTTTTGTAGTGACAATGATTGTCTTTTTATTTCTTTCTTATTTGTGTGTCTGCTCTACCAGTGAATTCATATTTTTGTGTGTTTTCATGATGACAGATGTATTAGTCTGTTATGACTCTGCTGATAAAGAAATAGCTGAAACTGGGTAAATTATAAAGATAACAAAGAAAAAGAGGTTTAGTGGACTCACAGTTCCACATGACTGGGGAGGCCTCACAATCATGGTGGAAGGTAAAAGGCACATCTTACATGGCAGCAGGCAAGAAAAAATGAGTCAAGTGAAAGGGGAAACCCATAATAAAATTATCAGATCTTGTGAGACGTATTCACTACCATGAGAACAGTATGGGGGAAACCACACCCACGATTCAATTATCTCCCACCAGCTTCCTCCCACAACATGTGGGAATTATGGGAGCTGCAATTCTATATGAGACATGGGTGTGGACACAGCCAAACCACCATATCATTTCTCTCTTGGCCTCACCCAAATCTCTTGTCCTCGCATTTCAAAACCAATCATGCCTTTCCAAAATTCTTCCAGAATCTTAACTCATTTCAGCATTAACTCAAAAGTCCACAGTCCAAAGTCTCATCTGAGAGAAAGCAAGTCCCTTCTGCCTATGAGCTTGTAAAATCAAAAGTAAGTTAGTTACTTCCTAGATACAATGGAAGTACATGAATTGGATAAATACTCCCATTCTAATTGGGAGAAACTGGCCAAAACGAAGGAGCTTAAGGCCCCACCCAAGTCCAAAATCCAGCAGGAAAGTTAAATCTAAAAGCTCCAAAATTATCTCCTTTGACTCCGTATCTCACATCCAGGTCACGCTGATGTAAGAGGTGGGTTTCAATGGTCTTGGGCAGCTCTGCCCCTGTGGCTTTGCAGGGTATAGCCTCCCACCTGGTGGTTTTCACAGGCTGGTATTGAGTGTCTGTGACTTTTCCAGGTGCATGGTGCAAACTGTCAGTGGATTTACCATTCTGGGATCTGGGAGACATTGGCTCTCTTCTCACAGCTCCACTAGGTGGTGTTTCAGTAGGGACTCTCTCTGAGAGCTCCAACCCCACATTTCTCTTCTGCACTGCCCTAGCAGAGGTTCTCCATGAGGGCTCCACCGCTGCAGCAAAGTTCTTCCTGGGCATTCAGGTGTTTCCTGAAATCTTGGTGGAGGTTCTCAAACCTCAGCTCTTGACTTCTGTGCAATCACAGGCTCAACACCATGTGGAATCTGCGAGGGCTTGGGGCTTGAACCCTCTGAAGCCACAGCCTGAGCTGTATCTCGGCCCCTTTTAGCCATGGCTGGAGCAGCTGGGACACAGAGCATCAAGTCCCTAGACTGTACAGAGCATGGGGCCCCTTGGCCTGGATGGGAGGGACTGCCACAGATGTCTCTGACATACCCTGGAGACATTTTCCCCATTGTATTGGTGACTAACATTTGGCTCCTTGTTACTATGCAAATTTCTGTAGCAGGCTGGAATTTCTCCCTAGAAAATGGGTTTTTCTTTTCCCTTGCATCATCAGGCTGTAAGTTTTCCAAACTATGCTCTGCTGTTTTTAAAACTGAGTCCTTTTAACAGCACCCAAGTCACCTCTTGAATGCTTTGCTGCTTAGAAATTTCTTCTGTCAGATACCCTAAATCATCTCCCTCAAGTTCAAAGTTCCAAAGGTCTCTAGGGCAGAGGCAAAATGCAACCAGTTTCTTTGCTAAAACATAACAAGAGTCACCTTTACTCCAGTCCCCAACAAGTTCCTCATCTCCATGTGAGACCACCTCCGCCTGGATTTCATTGTCCCATATCACTATCAGCATTTTGGTCAAAGCCATTCAACAAGTCTCTAGGAAGTTCCAAACTTTCCCACATATCCCTGTCTTCTTCTGAACCCTCCTAATTGTACCAACCTCTGACTATTACATAGTTCCAAAGTCTTTTCCACATTTTTGAGTATCTTTACAGCAGTGCCCCACTCCCAGTACCAATTTACTGTATTAGTCTGTTCTCACACTGTTGATAAAGATGTACCCAAAACTGGGTAATTAATAAAGAAAAAGAAGTTTAGTGGGCTCACAGTTCTACATGGCTGGGGAGTCCTCACAATCCTGGCAGAAGGCAAAATGTATGTATTACATGGCAGCAGGCAAGAGAAAATGAGAACCAAGTGAAAGGAGAAATCCCTTATAAAATCATCAGATCTGGTGAGACTACCACAAGAGCAGTATGGGAGAAACCGCCCCCATGATTCAGTTAATCTCCCACCGGGTCCCTCCCACAACATGTGGGAATTATGGGAGCTGTAATTCAAGATGGGATGGGGCCATTGGGAGGAGGTACAGCCAAACCATATCAGCAGATTTTGTGTTTTTGCTTCCAGATGTAGGACTCCCCTAAGCATCCTTTCTTGCAGGGTTGGTCTAGTGGGAATGAGTTATCTTTTTTTTTTTTGCTTGTTTAGGAACAACTTTATTTCCCTTTCACTTTTAAAGTATAACTTTGCTTTTTTTTTTCTTAAGTTCTCTATGCCTTTACCCATTTCTTATTCTGGAACACCCAAAATTTAAGTATTTGGCCACTTTGTGGTATCCCACACGCCTTGCATGCTCTTTTTATTCTTTTTTATTTTTATTTTTTTGTCTGACTATTTCAAGAGACCTGTCTTCAAGTTCAAAAATTTCTTCTGCTTGATGCAGTGTATTGTGCTTGATGCTCTTGACTGTATTTTTAAAATTTTCATTTATTGTATTCTTCAGTTCCAGGATTTTTTTGTGTGTGTTTTTAAATGATTTCTATCTCTGCTGAACTTTTCATCCAAGTTATAATTTTCTTTCCAATTTATTTGTAGTGTTTACCCATGTTCTCTTTATTGTACTAATTTTTGATATCATTATTTTGGTATTTTTAGGCATTTCATAGATTTCATTTTCTTTGAGATCTGTTACTGGAGAATTACTGTGTTTCTTTGGAGGTGTCATGTTTTCTTGCTTTTTATTTTTTGTGTCTTTGTGTTGATATCTGCACATCTGGTGTACCAGTCATTTTGTCCAATGTTATGGATTGGATGAAAATCTTTCATAAGGACATTTTTTTTACAAAGATATATCTACAGTGTGCACTGGGCAGGGTCCTTTCACTTGTACTCTGGGTGGGTGTAGAAGTGTGGTCTCTGCATGATTTCTTTAACTGTAATCAACATCAGTGGTGTCTGTGAATTCCTCAGTGGCTTAGGTGGCAGTTGTCATTGGGGGCTGTGGCAAGACTTTCCTGGGGACAAGGGCTCCAGGAGGGCTGGTCCTTGGGCACCAGTGATGTCATTGGTGGGTTGGGGGTGCCAGACCTTGGACTCCTGGGTGGTGTGCATGGCATTGGTAGTGGCAGTGGTGGTGGTGAGCCAACCCATGGCTCCTATGTGGCTTGCAGAGATGCCTGTGGTGGATGGTTTGTGACTGGGCTGGTATCCAAGTCAGCTAAAGGTACATTCAGGTATGTGACCACCCTGCCACTGGAGGATACTGTGTTGCTGTCAGTCAGTCCCTGGCAGTCAACTCTCAAACTCTGGGGAGTACACACTTCCTTTGTCCCTAAGGCAGCCTCCTGCAGTGTTGCACCACCCATTTTCCAGAGAGTAGGACACTGTGCTGTTGCTCCAGCTGCGCCATTGTGTCCAGCCAGCATTGCAATGCTGCAGCCCTCTGGGTGGATGTAGGGGAATGTCAGTGGGGCTTAAGGTATGTGGAGAGGCAGGTGCTGTTTGTCCTCAGGGTGGGATGTAGTCTGGTGTGGACTGGGCTCTCAGAATGGCATCATGTTGCAGTTACTTGGGTCTTGGGGGAGTTTGGCACCCAATGCAAACTCTCTCCCTGAGACAATGCCATCATATAGACTGCAAGCAGCTTTCTATACTAGTCTAAGGGCCCACGAGGGCCAAGGGGCTCACCTATGGCTAGGGTTGCAAGAGTCCTTAGTGGGAACGTGAACCAGTAGGCATCTCTCGCTTACCACCTTTCCACAATGGGGGATCCTTCTCTATATTTTTGAAATATAAAACTGTTCTAAAAAGTAAAATCATTTTTTTTTTAAAAAAAGAAAGGTCATGGACACAAGTTTATCAGAGTCAGGTCTTTAATCTGGTAAGACTTAAATAGGTGGAGCTCAGAGACAGAATCCCCACCCCACAATCTCTGGGACTGGCAGCATTGGAGCTTGGAATATACAGAGCTGTGACTTACCTTCTGGGAGATCCCAGGGGATCTTGGTCTCATGACTGTTTACTTTCTTTTGGATAGGGAAGATGCCATGGGCTTAGACCATTCTTTCATGAAACAAGATAAATGGGAAGCTCAAACATCAATTTAGTATGCCTTAGGGAAGAGAGAAAAGGTTTTCAGATAGAACTTGCTTAAAGCCTGGGCTTGCTGCCTATTAGCTGTTTGTCTTTGAGCACATCACATAGTATCTCTGGATGTATTTCATAGCTTATATTTTACCAGAATTTATTGGTAAAATGAAAATAATTATATTAATATCTACACATCAGAGGGAGTTATGAATATTCAATTACATAACTTAGGGAAATGCCCAGAATAGTGTTGACACATAGTCAACTACTAACATTTTCTTTTTCTTCTTTTCTTCCCTTTTGATAAACAGGAGAAAGAGTAAATGAGAAGAAGTAGCACTTTTTCAGGTGTCAGGCTGGAGGAAGCCACTTGAAGATGAGTCTACGTCTGCCTTAGGATTGCCTGGCAGCCTGCGCCATTCCGTGTTATATCTACTTATTTGCTCCCTGTATTCAATTATTATTTTTTTTACTTAATTCTCTCATACTGACCCTGAGAGTGACCATATTTTTAACCAATTTGGTCTTCAGCCTCAAAACTTAGCTCTTTCCTTTTGGGGTCCCTGAATCCTACCATGTGTCATGGTGGCTGTGAAGATGTTTGCCAAGCCTGCTGAGAAGGCTCATCTGTGGCATCTGAGAGCACAGATTTCAACTCTGGACCCCTGTAAACTGCCTTTGGAATTATGGACACCCAGCACTGTTTTGAAATATCAGTGGACATCCAGTTTTTAAAAGCCCTCAGAGCTTTGGGAGGCACCCCTTTATCTCTCTGGCATGTCAGAGAACCGATTCAACCCTTCTCATCTCCTCTTCCTTCCCTCTCTTGGGCAATCAGGATGCAGCAGCAACTCACTGTGCATGTTTTTACAGCTCTTCTCCAGTAATGCTGCCATTTCCACTGCAGACCACAGGATAAAAAGGACCACTTCACAGTGGCCCAGGATACCCTTTTAAGTAGGAGGTAACTATTCAGTTTCTTAGTGGCCCATACATAAACTTGATTATGTTCTTCATTGCTCCAAGATACTATTTGTTTGTTTGTTTATTCCAGAGGGAGAAGAAAGTACTGCTTTGATCTAAAATTAAGCAAACGTTCTTCAATAAACCCCCTGTGGGACTTGACCTCTAATGGTAACCAGCAGTGGCTTTGTCATGGCCCTGCCCACTGGGGGCAGGCATGTGCCAGGGCCAGGGTAGGCTGCCAGCTGGTGAGCACAAATAGGTGGCTGGTGGAGCTCACGCAGTGGGAAGGGCAGATGGCTCCATTCTGATTTCTTAGCAAGCCGCTTCCCTGGGAGGGGCTTTCCCTTCAGTGGAGTCTGTGCCCCCAGCCTCAGCTGTCTTGGAGCAGATGTGTATACTTAGAGATGGGGACCTTTTCACTGTAAATACTGCTCACATGTTCCTAGGCTGACTTTACTATGTGCAGAGCCTCTTCTCAAATATCCAAATCCCCTCTGTTGGGTACTACAGAACAGATGTTACCCTGCCTCCTATTACATTAATTTACGAACTTTACATATGCTGAGTTACGGACCCTAAGCTGTTGCATGTGCTTGACTGTTATGTTCCAAAAAGTATGTTTTTATGGTTTTGTGGAAACTGTGCTGTTCTGCTTTTGCAGACTGTGAGATTCTGATTTTTTGTTTTTTTTCTCATCAGCAATTATCCTTGTCCTGGAACATCAGAGCTTGAAGAAGGAATTCTAGCAGCCCACCTCTGTCCTTCCTAATCCTGATGACTAGAGGCTTAGAGAGAGGCAGTGATTTCTCTGAGTTTACCAGATTCAGTGACAAACTTAAAGCCCAAACCCCTTCTGATTTCTAGTCAATCCGGCAGCCTTCATTTACCCAAAGTTCACTTTTGATAGTATAACTTTTATACACTGTGACACGACGTATTTTAAAAAACAGTTTAGAAATGTTTAATCTTTCTTTGAAATACTTTTTAAGGTCAGGCACCATGGGTCATGCCTATAATCTCAACACTTTGAGGGCCAAAGTGGTAGGATCATTTGGGCCAAGATTTCAATATCAGATTGGGCAACATAGTGAGACTCCATCTCTAAAAACTTAAAAAAATAGCCAGGTGTGGTGGCACATGCCTGTAGTCCCAGCTACTTGGGAGGCTGAAGTGGGAGGATCTATTGAGCCTAGGAGGTGGAGTTTAAGTAAGCCATGATTGCAGCACTGCACTCCAGCCTGAATGACAGAGCTGTCAAAAAAAAAAAAAAATTAGTTTTATAGTGCAGTTTTAGGTTCAGAGCAAAACTGAGTGGAAGGTACAGGGATTTTCCATATTCTTCCTGCCCCTCCAACAAATATGCCCTGTCTCCGTCATTATCAACATATCTTCCCAGAGTGGTACACATTTTATAATTGATGATCCTACACTGACACGCCATCATCACGATGAGTTCATAGTTGACACGAGGGTTCGCTCTGGGTGTTGTGCATTCCAGGCGTTTGGACAAATGTGTAATGACATGAATCCACCATTTGAGTATTATACAGATGAGTTTCACTGCCCTAAAGTCCTCTCTGCTCCACTGATGCTTATTCCTTCATCCCCCTGCTCCCTCAGCCCCTGACAACCACCGATCTTTTTATTGTCTCCATAGTGTGGTATTATTTAATGTGTTTTGAAGTTGCACTGTTGCCCCAAGACATCATATGAGTAGAGGGTTAACCACCTCAGCCAAGAGTAATTTGGTCTGGGGAGGTCTCCACCGTCAGGACGAAGGCATTTCAGAACCATCCTAACAATAGTGTTCCCATAAGTAACCAGACACTGTTTGTATCCATGGCAACATGGCTCCACGAGCACTGCTTCTGTGGAGCAGCTGCCCTTCCTGGGCACTGTCAAGAGTTGTTCTTCTTTGACATCCACTCCCTTCTTGCCCTGGCACACACCCCAGCCCAGGCACCAGGCATCCAGGGCCTTCTATGACTTTCCAGATGCACTCCTTCACAGCTGGAATGTGGTTGGCTTGTGGACTTGTGTTCCCAGCATAGTGAACAGTGGGCACTAGAAGCCAGTAGGCACTCAACTGATGATTCTTCAGTGAAATAATTGATGTCACATTTAGGTCTGTTTTTCTTGTATGTTACACCTTCTGTTCTTCAACAGAGCCCCCACAATATCCCAGAACTTTGAGGTCTTATCTGGGGGTTTCCCAGATGTTGGAGTACCCAGGTATCACCTGCTGAGCCAGTTTCCCTGGCCTCACCTGCAGAGGATTGGCATCAGTAAATCTGGGACAGGTCCAGTACTTTGCATGTGAGCACAGACCCAGGTGTTTCTGAACCTGGTGGTCCAGGGAATGCTGCAGGAAGGAGCCAATAGGACTGCATGCCTTAGGGGCAGTGGGTCTCATCCATCTCTATCTATGGCAGTGACTACAAGCCATGCCCAGGCCACATGGACACATGCCTTTAGAATTGTTTTGTGGGATGGATGAGTTACAGAACTGGAGCCCTAAGACTTGAGTTATAATTTCAGCTCTGCCAGTTGCTGGCTGATTGAAACTGAACAAGCCACCTGCCTTCCCTGAGACTGTCTCTTCTCCTGTGAAATTAGGACATTAGAATGCATGAAGATCTCTTTATGTCCTTAATAACCTGTAAGTTTAAGAATCTAGGAAAGCTCCATGCTGGTGGCTGCAGTTATATCCCCATATCCTCAATTCATCAAGAAAGAGTCACAAATGGCAGCAGGGTTGTGTCAACTGCTCTCCTTAGCAGCTATCGTAAGTGAATTGCCTTTGTCATCTTCCCCAGCCACCACCACACTCCCACATGGCCACCATCACCTGAACCATCTGACAGTGGGGGTTCCCTCCTAAAACTGAGATGCAGAGCCCCACCGCAGGCCTTTCTTGCTGGCTGCTCTCCACTCCCACCCAAAGGCTCAGTTTTGCTGGGCTGCACACCTCCGAGAACTCAGTTCTTGGTGTTTTATGTTGTTTCATACCCACTAGTGTTATAGAAACTGCTGCAGACCAGGGACCAAAAGTCCACAGGTTCTACTTCTAGCAGTGACACTAGTGAGACGAATGACTGCTGGCAAGTTACTTTATCTATCTGTCCCCACCTTCCATGTACAAAATCGGGTCTCTATGCACATTTGTGGTTCTAAATCCTGGAGTCCAAATCAGAATTCTTTGTGCAAAATATACATAGCTAGGTCCTAACCTTGGAGATCCTGACTCAGTCCAGGGAAAGATGCAGATCTTGGGGAGGAAGCAGCTCTCCAGAGGAGTCTCGCCTTCAGTGAGTGCCAAGATCACTTCTGTCCCTCGGTTCACAATGTTACCCTAACTAATCCATACTCTGATGTCACCTGCTAGCAACTTACCCTGTGGCATCAAACCAGTACCCCGTTTGCAGCTAGTACAAACACTTCTTTACATTTAAGTTTTGTTTACGAGATTTAGCCTATAATAATAGAGGCTGCCAGATGGGTTTCAAATGTGTATGTTCCATTGCTAATAGGAAAAACTGCATCTATTATAAAAATTCTCTCTAGGAGCTTAACACAGAGGCAGGCCTTGTATTGCAAGCATTTGAAATCCCATAACCGTATTCTGAACTGTGTTTTAAATCACCTGAGAACATTTCTTGAACGCTAGTCTTTGCTTAGAGTGACGAACCTATTAAGTGGTTCCGTGAGTTAAGTTTGCATCTAAGCAATGCCTGAATCGCAGGAGGAAGCCAGGAGTTGTGTCTGGTTTTCTGGCCATACAAATGGCATGTGGAAAAGTCATTGTGTATTATTAATATCCTTTGATGTATATTATTATGACTTTCTCACAATACTAATGTTATTGGTTTTTATTAATGTTATTTTTATAACAATGCTAATATTATGAGCTAAAAGTTTCGGAGCGTCTGCTGGGTGCTAAAAATTCTTATAAATGCTCAACATGCATTAGCTCCTAACAACACTTTGAAGTGATTCTTATTGTCCTCACTTGACATATACAGGAAATAAAAACCTGACCATTAGACCGAGCATGGTGGATCATGCCTGTAATCCCAACACTTTAGGAGGCTGAGGCGGGCGGATCACCTGAGGTCAGGAGTTTGAGACCAGCCTGGCCACCATGGTGAGACCCTGTCTCTACTAAAAACACAAAAAAAGTAGTCGGGCACGGTGGTGAACACCTGTAATCTCAGCTACCCGAGAGGCTGATGCAGGAAAATTGCTTGAACCCGGGAGGCAGAGGTTGCAGTGAGCCAAGATCGTGCCATTGCACTCCAGCCTGGGCAACAAGAGCAAAACTCTTTCAAACAAACACGCAAACAAACAAACAGAAAACTAAGCATGTGAGGAGTTTGGCCTGGGTGGTGGAGCTTGTGAGCTATGAGCTGGAATCTGAGTGAAGGCTGGGCTGGTGGAAGGAGTTCACTCAAGCTCCCAAGGTATTCTGTCCTCCAGGACTCTGAACCACCTGGGAGGAGAAGCAATTGTGGCAGGCCTAACACCTCTTCTTTCCCAAATCCCAGGAGCAGGTTCTGTGTGTTACAACCATTGAGGTCACATTCTTGAAGTGCATTTTGGGGAAGTCATTATTTTGGCTGCAGCAGGGACTAATGTATCAGTCTATTAGAATTCAGAAAAAGGTAAGCAAACAAAAAAGGTGTTGGAATTATTCTCTTCTAGCATTTTGAAATGTACAATTGGTTAATGTTAACTAGAGCCACCATGATGTACTGAAGACCAGGCAGGTCTTATTCTTTTTATCTAACTGTACATTTGTACCCATTAACCTAATGCTCATAGCATCAAGAAAAGATCAATACTTAAGGTGACAAATATCCCAATTACCCTGATTTGATTATGTGAATGTGTTGGATTATCATATCTACTCCTAAAATATGCACATCTAATTGTATCAATGAAAATAAAGACAAAAATTAAAGCTTTTACAGTAGAAAAAGACTTTTGACAGACTTGCTT